AATGATATAGAATTTTACGGAAGAATATAGATCATGGGGGAAAAAGCCTATAGTATATAAATAATTAAAAAGCTTAAGGCCCTTTTTTTCTCTTATTAATAATGTTATGTCAAGATTTAGTTGTAAACTGTATTCTGTAATAGTATTGGTATTTAGTTGGTGAATTTTTGAAGAAAGCTCTATTTGCGCAAATAAATATTATATTATTATGCTATTGTGATTCATATCATTGGTATCATCACTACTTTAAGCTCTACAAAAAAAAATAAAAATGAAAAATTCTTTTAATTTGTTTTTCAACAACAATAAAGTATAATTGTTGTTACAGCAAGTAACAACTTCTCATATTTATATTAGTAATTAATTAGTAATTTGAGTTTTTTTTTGTCTGTAGTTGATATTTAATTTATAATAAGATTATAGATTCAATTCTAAATACAGAACCGGCTACCGGGTTCCCACGACTAGTCAAATTGCTGAATATTTTGTGTTCGTGGATACTCGACATTTTGTGAGGAATGGTGTATTCATGTGATTATTTTATAATCAGTATTTGCCCTATTCCCACAGATTATCGGTAAATTAACAAAAAATATAAATAAATAATATTCCCTTCGAAGAAAGACTTATTATTATTATAAGTCTCGAAAATTTAAACTGGTTGTAAACCAGTTTTGGACAATTATTCTTAAAGCTATTTAAGTTTAAAGTTCAGGATGGGAGAAGGGTGGTGAGTAGTACTATTTTTATTTCTAAGCATTATTGAACAACATTTTCCTTCCCGTCCTAACTTTTAAATTTTTAAAAATAATTAAATAGAACTGGTTATAGACCAGACAAAATTGTCAGTAAATTATTCTTATTTTAAAAAGTTAATAAAAAAAGTTTATACAAAAAAACCTAATTAGGCAGGGGATTAAAAACATAATTAAAATTGAAAACACTATGAAATAAGAAAGTTCAATTATTAATTAAACCAAATGAGGTATTAAGTGGTTAATGAAAAAATGATCACCTTGTATATAATATTAATATAATATAATAGGTATTAAGTATACTTCTTTTTGCTATGATAATGATTAACATTGGAAAAAAAATTCAATAATTAATAAAACATACGAGATATTGGAGTGGCTCATAATAAAAAAAAATCACCCTGTATATATTTTGTCTTTTCCCATAACGTTATAAATTTAAAAACATCATCTTGTATAATATATAATATAATACCATATATTTTTAAATTATTTTAACTTCTAGCGTTTTCTCGAAAATCAGCTGAGCTTGTTGAATGGTAGTTACTAATGGCAATAATGCTGGGACTAAAATTTGGATTTCACAGGGAGTAAGCAACAATTTCTGCTAAAATTACCTTTTGTCATAAAAAAATTCAGAAAATCAGCTTTATCAACAATAAAAAGATGTAAGCGACTACTAGATTAGAAATGGCTGATTTTTGCTTTATAAGTTTTGGGATAAACGCCAGGACTTCAATTTGTTGACAGCTTTAATGGTGTAAGCAACATATTTCAATAATATAATTAAAGTAATTTTTTTTATTTAAACTTATTTCAGATCAAAATATACAAAGTTCAAAATAAAAATAATTAACATCCATCAAATACTATAATAGAACCCTATTTTAATAAGTGGATAATGAAGACAACTTTTTTTTAATGCTAACACAATGGTGATACTCCAATATACATTGCATATTCCAAACACATGCTTATGTTTATATTGAAAATAGGTTATAACAGAGTTCTTGAAATACGTATTTTAACTATAACATAGATGCATAAGTTATATGCAATCCATTATAGCTAAAAAAACAGTTGTGATTTTAATGATATAAAACAATGAGCAACACAAATAGAAAGTTTTGAATTGCTAACTACTGTTTTGACAGTATAAAATTAAAAAACTATTTAATAAATACACTTTTTTTTAGTAATAAATTGATTTTTAGCTTCGGTGCGGAGCTGAGAAGGTATTGTTTTTACAATGATGTGTTTTATTTTTTTTTTTGTGTCTGGACCCACGATATCTCGTAAACCGCTGAACCGATTTCTTCGTGTAGCAACTCTATAGATCAGAAATCATACCTGGAAGGTACTATAACGTGCTAAAATTTATAAAAAGTCACCCCTTTCCCATCAAAATCGAGAAAAACACCTAAAAAATGTACACATTTTTTAACTTACAATTACGATGCTCTATAACTTTTTTAAAAAATAGTCGAAAATGTTCAAAATTTATATGAATTGTTCTTCAAACATAGTACTATCGATAAACATTAACAAACCAAAAAAGTATCATAAACTTTTTCCCTTGGAACGGATAGAATTTTTTTTTTTATTTCACTTTTTCAAGCAGTTTTAGAGATTTAGATCTGAAAATTAGACCAAAGGTAGATCTAAAATGGAACTATAACATATACAATTTTCTCAAAAATCTGTAGTCAAATTTTTTTTTATTAAGGAAAAACCCCAAAAATAGGGTAAATTTACACTTTGGCCGTAGTCAGTTTCTAGGTTGCTATGTGTGTGTGAAACAACAGTCAACAGGTAATGAATTTTTTTTCATTATATTGTTAATTATGATAAATGGTTAACTATGACAGTACATTTTTATAGACAGAAGATCAACCCTTATCGTATCCACCCTGCACAACAGTAATTATTAAATTTTAAATACATTTTTGCTGGTCCCACGATACCTTCTAAACCGCTATAACTGGTTTGAACATACTATCCACAGATTCGCATCGAAGCGTTTATTTAAAAGTGATTCATCACTTTCAGTTATAATAAAATCTGTAGGCCTGTGACCTCTCCGTCCCCACTGTACTGGCTTTTTTAAATTTTGTTTTATTAGTTTAGTTTATATTATCTATTGATTCATACATATAGTATTGCCTAATATATTATAATATTACAATGCAATATTACATTACATAAAATAAATTTTCTGTACAATTAAAATAATTTATTTAGGTGTACTATCTAAGACGGATTGCATTATTTTAATCTCATCAATTAAAGGGATTGGATACAGATTATTCCCATCTATGTCTATCACACATGGCAATTTAAACGTACATTTTGTTTATCGTACCAATCTAGTGATGCGATAAGGAATCGGAAAACAGATTTGAATTTGTCATGAAGTTTACTTGAGATCACACAGAGTAATTTTTTCAATTTTGAGTTATAACCTTTTCTTAATTTGATTTTATAGTTTAAAATTATATAAAATGTTCAAAAGTTTCTTATTCGTAGTAGGAAAAATATAATAAAAAAGTACTCGGAGGATCACAAGTAAACTTTATAACAAATTCAAATATATTTTCTGATTTCTTATCGCATTACTAGGTAGAACAGTATGTTGGAAAAAAATACATCTAAATTCTTATGTTGAGTGCGAGGTAGTCAAAGACAGGAATAATCAGTCTCTTATTTTAATAATAAAAAATCATGTAGTTTATTGTATTCACTACATTTTAAATCTACAAAGAATATAAAAAATAGGTGTCCAACAAAATTACATCACAAGAATACATTTTGAGGAATTAAGTAACTGCTAGTGAAATAAAATACCAAATAACAGAAAAAATGTTAAAACAAAATTTAAAATTTAGTCTCCAATTTTATTTAAAGCTGAAGTTTAAAATATGAATAATTTTTTTTTATAAAAGCTGAATTATACTCAGGTTTTAAAATAATTTAGTAATTATTACAGTTTGTCATAGAATTTAGGACTATATAATTAAAAAACCTTTTTTTTCCCCATAGGTACATTAAAGATTTAGTATCATAATTATTATTATGTTTTTTAATTATTATTTGTTACTTATTCAGTATGATTAACTAAAAATAAAATACAGATATTTATCAAATTAATATTTTTACAAATTTATTTTTTTCTTCTGTTTATTGGTATATCTGTTAGGTATATACAATACATAATAATTAACAGAAAACCTTTTGAAAATAAACACAAGTGTATGTACTTTGTACTCTATAACTATTATCTTAATAGATTGGACCTTGAAATATACATTTTGTTGACAGTTTTATTTATCTTAATTTTATAAAAAAAAACAATTCTTGTGTCTTTAATGTTTCTTTACTGACCTTCCAGATTATAGGTATTTCCAAATATCAATAGTTGGTAAAGTTTTTTTTAAATTTATTGAAAAATATTTCAACAGTCAAAGTCACGACAGGTTTAAAAGTTTAAACAAAGAAATATATAGTTGTTAGTAGAAACAGTAGTTTACTGTTTACTTAACGGTTCCACACAATGAACTTGTTTTAATATAGAATTTATACATTTTTTGATTGGCATTAAACCTATTTTTTAGCACAGTCAATTTGCATTATCATTCTTGACCGTACAATTAGAACAACAAGGAGGATCCAACTGCAAACTATTAGCAAATGTAACTTTATCAATGATGATTGTATTACTGGTAGACTTATATATTTTACATCATACCAATACGGGATGTTTGTAAAATTCTTTATGTTTTTTAAATTAATTTAGGTAAGCTAATTCATTGTACACATAATTTTCAACAGTGGTGTGACCTGACATACAAGGTATGTCCAAGTAGGACCACAGGACTTTATAAAACAATTTAAAAAAAAAATTTTCTTTTTATAACATTTTTTTGGAATAATTTGATAAGATTAAAAATCCACCTGTAATTAGATTTTCCGACAATCATAACCAGGTGGTGAGATATAAAAATAAATAAACTATCACGGCTTATTAGCTATCAGCTATCGCTTATGTGGTGGTAGGTAATAATATTATGTTATTCGTGGTGATGACTATAAAGTAGTTCATTTTTTATTCTTTAATTTCTGTGTTTGAGGGAACCTTTGTCTCTTATAGGCCCTAGCGCCACAAATGTCCTCGCTATGCCACTATTTTTAAATCTAATAAATTAAATACTAAGCTATATCATTTAACATTTTCGATGCTGGTCTTACCTTTTCTCCTTCCAAAAGGTCCAGAGAACGTAGAATTCTTTCCAATGACATTTTCATCTACGTACTTTAAAAGCTTTGCAGGATCAGCAGATTTATGCAAAGGTTTAGACGCTTTGACATAATCGTCGGGGAGAGCGTAAAACTTCCTGTTGGCAAATCTTTTTGAGGTAGCTTTTACCGAATTCATCACTGGCACTTGATTCACTGTGCTTGTCGCATGACAGAAAGGCCGGAGCACACGTGTTCTTAACTCGCGAGCTAGTCGGAACGGTATGAAAAACAGCTAAAAATATTGTACAAATAAAAACTAATAATACCGTGTACCTCGCAAACAAATGAGATGTAAGCCTAACATGTGAATCACTGAGCAATCATAAAAAAAAAAAACGTTTGCGGTATCTAATGCGCGATTTGAAATCGAACCGAACGTTCTTAACTTTCTCATATACAAACGTCAGCTGCTCAATACGGGCCGCAGTGTTATGCTTAAATCTTAATGCTCATGTTATCTCTAAAGTCGAAACACTCGCTACTCGGTATGTTGACTGCGTGAAAAACAACAACAAACAGTGTTGCCATTTCGAAATACGCACGGTAATATCGCAAACCATATTTTCGTAATGTCTGTAGTAAAGCACACGGGACACCGCGGCGATAGCACACGGTTGTTTACACAAGTTGACGTATACACGATAACTGCACGATAACTATTAACTAGTATTTGTCAACACACAGTTGACTGTAACCGGCCAACAACAATAATAATAATTGTTCCTTGCATCAATAATTAGACAACCGTTTTAATGTTTGATGTTTTATAAAAAAATAAATAAAAAACTTTTTTAAACCACATGGATATACTACAGTTAAATAAATAACCTATAACTCGATATTATGTTATACAGATTAAATAGGACACGTTATTACCTTTTATAAATACCAGCCTGCTAATAAACCATAAGAAAAAAATTGTATAAAAAAAAAAACTTGTAAAATAACTTTATACGAGTAAACAGAGCTAACCACTTTAACGCTTGATAATATAAAACCATATTATCGTGTATTTGTCACATAAAAAAAAAACTTTTAGACACGTATTTATCGCTTATAAGTTATATTTATATGCTGCGACAACGAACGCTATTGTGAAAAATTATTCTTATACCTAATACAATTTACAAAAGCAATTCATAAAATTGGTATATTAAAACGTCGTGTTTGAAACCGACCAACAAGTAATATACTAATTGACAATTTAATACTGCTCAATTTTTAATTTTGCAAATGGGCTGCCCTGAAATCTAACCATTGTTATATTCGTTTGAAATATTAAAAGTGTGCATTGGCTTTCATGGACTTTTAGAAATGAACTCTTTATTAAACAAATCTTTAATCTTTTAAAGGTAGTAACAGGTAAATCGATAATAACGGATACACCGGGCAAACGGCTTTTTGTGAACGAAATAAACTAGGTTTTGGTAAAATCACTTACTTATGCAAATACATATTATTTTGCGGGTCAATGATGCTTGATTTTAGTTCGTACCTTCCGTTTTTATAGGTAACACAGGGTTTCTAAGAAATTGTACGTTTTTTTACTTTTGGGTTTAGCGTCACAAGGTTGAACTAAATTAAAAAACCATAAAAATAAATCACACACTACCTATTCATGTATTATAATGAAAAATCCTAGCACCGTGAAAACAACGCAAATGTACACAAGCAATAGCAACAATAACTAAATCAAAAAATTAATTAATTACTTTGAAAACAACCGAAAATTAACTACAATTTTAAATCATGTTAAACATCTTTAATTTTTGACTAAAAAATAATAGCATGTGCCCTATTTAACAAAGTCCCTAAATCCTAACAAATTTATCAGATACAATTGCAGATATTGTATTATATTGTAAGTTTTTTTGTAATTTAAATTTGTTTCAATTTTAGTGTGTGACACATATTTTTCATAAAACTTAACTCAATGAATTTGGACTTTGTTGAATAGGGCCCACGCTTTTCTTTTTACCTAGTCAACAATTAAAGATGTTTAACATTAATTTAAAATTGTAGGTAATTTTCGGTTGTTTTCACAGTAATGAAAAAAAAAATGTGCTACAATTGATTGGTAAATTGTTCTTGTAGTAAAATTATTTTTTACTTTTAAGTTCACTTTTTTACTATTTTTTGGAAAACCATGTTTTTAAAAAAGTTTTTTTAAATTAATTAATTTAATTTTTTCCTTTTTAGTCCTATTAAAGGTACTTAATAATTGTGAATAGATTATTAAATTAATTTTGGAAGATACGAAAAAACATGACATTTTAGTGAATTGATCCCCATATTTGACCCCCCCCCCCCCCGGTTAGGATGTCCGGTCCCAATATTTTGACGGAAAATTGTATTGTCATCTAAAATGAGTACCTGGGTTAAATTTCAGCCTTTACGATATCGGTAAGTGGGTTAAATTAATTTTGGAAGATTCGAAAAAACATGAAATTTTAGTGAAAAGACCCCCCACATATGGCCCTGTGTACAGCCTGGCGACCTGGATGTCCAAGTCCCCAATATTGTTATAGGATATTATATTGTCATCCAAGATGAGCGTCTGTGCCAAGTTTCAGCCTTCTGCGACATCGCGAAGTGGTTAAATTAATTTTGCAAGATTTTAAAAATACCCGTACAAGTACGTTTGTACGTACGTGTGAGTTAAAGAAAAGCATGTAAAAATTAATTTTATATTGTTTGAAAATGTAAAATAGAGCGACAAGACTATGTCATTTGATTTCTTAAGTCATTAAAAATACATCAACAATTTTCTAATTAAAATTTAATTATTTTAATTAATTAATTTTTTAATGGAATTCAACTACCCAATGACAGCATTTATCACGTTAATAGCACCGTCTATACATAACCATAATCATAATTAGTAATTTGTAAGGAAAAAATAAATAGTATTTAATATTGACTGAAATTAAAAAAAATATCGAATACATTTTGTAAAAAGTATATTAAATACTTGATGCGTCATACGTACTCGGTACTTATAGTTTATCCCTACATAACTACATTTCAAAACTCAAAGTATATAACACATTACAGCTCGGCGGTGAACCTTTTATTCAAAGCATACTGCCTAAACATTACTATGTATAATTAAATACAATTATGAGTTCGTTAGACTAAATTTATTTTTAGTTACATAACTGCGTAATGCGTTTATGTACTACTTATCAGTTATTTTATTAGACAATACCGTTCACGCAAAATGTGTACAAAAACAACCATAATATAGGTTGCATTTTCAGCTTACAATTACTATTTCCGTTATATATATATTATTTATTGCATTTTTTTAACCGTAACTAGGTAAGCGTAACCGCTGCTTAAAAACTTTAATTCTACCGAAAGATTTAATTGCTACTTACTTGTTTATAAGAAATTATTAATTATTAATTGTTTACTAAACCTTCTCGCCTTGTAAATAGATACAACATTAATTCCCAAGTATTGGTAGGCGGTAGCGGCTTTATATATTATTTATTATTATTATTTAACATTATAGCGAACCTACCTTCTAAAATATAGATTTAAGCGTCAATGCAAACCCGTACGCACGTTAATAGTATATCTAAAGACTTAAAGTCAATGGTCTCCGAAACAGGATTAGACGGGTCTTACTTATTAAGGAATTGTCAACTATAAACGTAGGAGAGGCCACAGGAAGAACAGATCAGGTTTCGTGGTGAACCTTTAATGACGTCATAGTAGACAAATCAATGAACGTCATCATAGAAACTATAAAAAAAAACACGTATCACGAAATGTGTAAAAAATGGAATCCTTGAATTAATAAAAACTAAAACAACTAATTTGCAACGTTTTACATTTATAAAACAAACGCAAATTTAGACATGTACCTGCTTCTTTTTGACCAGGAAATTATTAGCATACTGATACATAACATTATGATAATTTTATTATTTCCAAAAATACAACTATTTTCTCGCTTATTATACAATTAAAAAATAAAATAAAAATTCCGTGGGTACACCACAGTGGTGACTACATATGTATTTACACACTTAATAATTATTATATTAGTAGTAAATAATTATTGTAATATTGAATTTGTTTATTTCTCTCAATACATTTTACACAATAATGTTTTAGAAATTAAAAAAGTGATAGGAATAATGTAACCACTTCTTTTTTTTAACTATTTTCAACTTAAACCTTAGAAAAAAGATATAATAATTTATAGTTCTCGTTTATAATTAATATAAAATTTGTATATTAATAAACACTTAAATACATAAAAGATGTAGCAAACTATATTTTGTTGTCTTAAATATTAGTAAACAGTTATAATATTAGGCTGGGTTACTGTTGCACATTTCTAAACCAAGGTTTCGTTCAAAACATGAACGAATGTTAAACAGAATAATTGACCAAAAATATTACACCATACTTAGGAAATACTGTGTAACATTTAGTTATAAATTATAAAACAACATTTGTGTTTTACTAATTTTCACCGTACCCTGAAATATTGATTTCTCATGTACTGATTCCATAAAATTGCTCAGTTTTTTTATGTTCAAAATTTTCAAATTTATTTATAAGTTATAAATTCTCACGTTAATTCGGTAATGTCTATTATATTTATGTGTTTAACACGATGATTTATATATTTGTCACATAACTAGTATGATATTCTTTATAATACTAGAATTTTCGAAAAATGTTAGGAATTATTTGTTTAAAATGGCAAAATAATAACCACAGTTTGATACAATTAAAACTACAAACATTACTAAAAAAAATATTTTTTCTTATTATTTTTGCATTCTTTAATGTTAAGTTTGCTAACTTATTGAAAAAGTGTGTTAGCCTAAAATAGGCTAATTTATATTTTATAATGTAAACAAATTATATCCTTAGAAGAATGTTTCGACTATTAGGAACTATGTTGAACTTTAAAATGGATTTGTAGTTTCTTGAAAATTTACTGGAATCTGTTGAATTCCAATGAAAACATGCAACTTAATAGTTTACTTAGGTAATACATTCAGGTCAGCAAAGAAGAGCTGTACAACAAACAACTTTGACACAATCTACGTATCTATATTCTGTGTAATGCGCAGCACATAGTAATTATGTATATTACAGACTAAATTATGTTAGCTAATTACGACTGATGTTTTGTATAAATTGATAAGCTTGGAATTTGAAGTCATTGATGAACTCGCATTGGGGTATCCACTTTTTTTTTATGTTGTTGTAGTTTCAGTGTGATCAACGAATTCTCCATTTGTTTTATCACAGTATAATATCAGATACGTCATTATGAATTATAATATTTTGAATAAAGATAATTGTTTTTCGGTATGTTTACCGTTTCCAAGGCTACGAGCATATCATATAGCTTTGTATTTGTTCGATACAGGGTTTAAGCTGCAGAAACATACATAATTTTTCTTTTTTAATTCGTTTCTGATTGTTTAACAGTAAACCACTGTCTTATATAAAGATAAACCATAACTAGATAACATGTTGAATTTCGCAAAACCGTTGCCTAAAGATCACGCCGAAGTAGCCAGACAAATCAAGTCCAGGCTTTTCGACGAAGAACGCAAGAAAAGAATATTTAACCCTGCATCAAGAACTATTGGTGTAAGTCAATAACATCATAATTAAACATTTTTTGTACGCTGTTTTATTTGATCCACGGTCGTGGCGCAGAGCTAAGTAAAAAAATAGCATGCGCGGCGACCGAGTGTATTACAGGAACCATCCAAACTATACTCTCATCTCTTACAATTTATCAATAATTTCTATCAACAACTCTGTAGGTTAAACTAATAGAGCAATTACAATGTATTTTCATGATTTGATAAATCATATACATTTGGTTTTCATGATTTATAAAAAAATATATACAAACGTCGTAAGTACTAACCAGTACAAAGACAGCAATTCAGAAGATAAAGTTAAAACAAAAACACTGAAAAAAAAATCGAAATCATCCAAGAGTATACAAATTTAACGTGTTATAAAGAAAACAAGAACTATTACGTTAAATGAAATATAAGTGATATCCCAACGAAAACACTTTTAAAATTAAGTTTAAAATAAAACATTTATGTTAGAAAAGTTGTAATATCAATTTAGGGGCTAAGTACTCATAGTATTATAAAACATTTTATTTTATCAAATAACTTTATTTATTTAGAACCCAAAATTTATGTCATAACTATTAACTTTTCTAACAAAGGTATATGTATTTTTTACTTGGCAATATTGGGAAATGTAAGTATTAATTAAGCATGTTTAATCAATGGAGTAGGTATTTTATTTTGTAATATTTTCTCAAACAACCTACAAGCTGTTGACAATTTTTATGGACTATCAAATTATGTACTAGTACGATATCTGATATTAACGCCTACCACCATACCACGTATGACTATGTACAGCCATGTAAGTACTTATATTATAGTTGGCGCCTAAAATAGCAGGAAATAATTCGGTAGCTCATAACTCATAACCAGTTTAATCCAGGACTGGCGCTAGATAATAATTTAACCTAGGCAAACTAATTTAGGTACCTTTTCAATTGTAATTTTTAAAAATATTTAACTTTAGTCTATGTTGGTTACATCTTACGCCGGCGCGGCCCTTGTTGAATCCAGTTTAATTTATCTGCTAAAAAATAATCTGATCTAAAACTTCTAAAATCTTAATTTTTGTTAAAATAAGACTTAACTGGTTATGACTACCCACAAACAAATGTTATCATACACATTGTGTAAAATATACCATCTGTATATTATGTATTAATTTAATCTACCAGAAATAAATAATAATTATATAATTTATGGCTATTGTTTTTAAATATTTTTTTTAATTTTAATTTCAAGAACTAAGTTATCATTTGTACTTGTAGATCGACAAGGATGCTCTCGATCGACAAGTTCATGAAAAAAAAATGTTGCGGGAACAGGAAAAAGCTAAGGAAGAAGCGTATTCTAAAAAGTTACTGCAAGATTGCGCGACTTCGATTAGACTCGACGAACAAAATAGAAAAGTATCATAAGCATAATTAAGAGCCATTACTGTTAATGGTTTTTGCATTTTGTCGTCATATTATTCATATATATTTTGTTTTATAGAAACAGAAACAAATAGATTTAGAAATATTGGACTATAGAAGAAAACACCAAGCTCCAGAAACGCGAAGGGAGTACGACTTGAATGATCCTTTGCAGTTCAAGAAAGGACAACCGAGCCGGATTGACGACCACGACCCTAGGGTGACTGTATCTTCTGGCCAACGGTAAATATTTTTAATTATTTTGAAAATCTAAGTAATAATATGCTAACGCTAGTTTAATAAAGATTTGAAGGTGAAGAGGGTAACTCTAAGGAATATAGGAACGAACAGATACAACAGCAACGCGTTTGGTTAGAGATGCAAGTACGAGAAAAGAGAATAGCCGACGAAGAGGCTAAAAACGCCGAGAGAACGTGGCAAGAAATAGAAGAGATGACGGCTCAGAGAGCACAATCGTTAGCTTGCCTAGAAAACGAATGCAGAAAAAAATTGGTGGAAGCTACTTATCGATACAACCAAGCGTTGGTGAGACGTTAAAAATCGTAGGTAAGCATTAAATTTAAAATTCATGTGCAAACTACTTACAGGCTGCCGAGAAAGAGATGAACAAACGAATCGCCGAGACAGAAAATAACGAAGACAAAATGGCCGAAGTGTACAACGCTATGACGGGAGATTTCCTGACAGAGAACCCGGAACTCGGATTTAACAGTGCCTTGGGACCCGGTAAGATTTGCAAGTCCCTGTACAAAGGATTGACTCCAGCCATGAAACAAGCCATATACGAAGAACAAGCCAAGCAGAGACATGAATTAAAAGTATTACTCGGTTTAAATAATCTCAAACTAGTAGTGTCAATTTGACACTGTCAAATGACTCTATTAGATAATGTATTAATTTTTCACATAATTACAGATCAAAAGAGAAGCGTTTGAAAAACGTGAAAAAGACTGGGCGGAACTGTTGAACATGTTGGCCAAATGCGGTACGCTCAGTGATCGAGAAATGCAAAGAAAAAAATGGTAATGCACGCTTGTCGTTTTCAGTCAATTCACCAACCAATAATAACTGTCCGTGTTATTGTGTTTTCCAGGACGTTGGAACAAGAAATTACCGACTTCAATCTTAGGCTAGCAAACGAAAAGAAAAAAGAACAGGAATACTTTAACAACGTGTTGTACAAGGGTCAAGCGTCGGAGGAATTCTTTAATCAATTCAACAAAACCACCCGTTGACTTAAATAACTGTTTATGCATGAATATGGTATTTGAATTACAATAATAAATTAAATGGTCGTAAATAACTATCAGTAATAAATTACTATCAGTACAATTTGATTTTTTCGTAATGTCCGTCCGACACGTATTTACCAATTTTTTGAAACGGCATGTCCACCGCTAACGTTAACACAACAGATAAAGCTCCCACCAACAGCATCTGTCCCACGTCGAACTAGAAACAAAATAGACAAGCGTAAATTTAATATAGAATAAGTAAATATCAAGTATATAATCAAGGACAAAAATATTTGCGGTTAATTTTCAGCTTATAATCGAGGAATATATTATTTTATATGCATAGTTTTCAGACTTGCTCTTAAGAGTAATAGTTGTATAGATTTGCCCTATTAAAACTCGGAAGAGTTTATTAGTTTATTACCAATGTGATTTATAAAGGTAAATGTTATTCCTTGTAAATACAATTTATTTTATTTTATAAAGACTTAACAGACTCATCAGATTGAAACATTATTTTCACGTTTCACATCTATACATAGGCGCAACTGGGGGGGAGGTGCTAGAGGGATTTTAGCACCCCTCAAATATAAAATTTTAATAATGTACATACTCTGTTAACATTTGTTTTTTAATATTTTTTAACTAATGGTTTGAAGATAAGAATTATGCTTAGTCAGGTATGCATAATTTTAACACCATCTAAAATGTAGGTTTTGTTGCGACTATACTTCCTTTAATCGGGGCTCAGATGGTTATAACTTATAAGTTTGGAAAAAAATGTATACAATAGTTTTAAGTTAGTAGTACTTGACTAATACCATCATAATATTTCTAATTTGTCGAAAAATTGACTTTACGGAACTCCTTATTAAATTTGAGGTATAAAGTCCTCTTAAGATTTCAAAAAATCTTTAAATATTAAACATTTTTCATTGTTTTTTAGCGGCATAATATTAAATATTTCTAATGTAGCTGGTTGGATGATAAAAAATTAAAAAACTGAAACATATTTAATTCGATTTGGGCATAAAAGTCCAAGACACACCACTGCGTCTATGATCCAAAAAAATATTATATTCAAGGCTTACCATCGCTGTGATGCTGTTCAACGAAGCACCTCTCGCAGAACCGACAAAATAAAAGAACACCGGATATTGAATCAAGTAGACAGCGTAGGAAATTTTTGATAACGTCACGAACGGTCTCCAACAGAGTAGAGCACCGAACCAACCTTAAAACAAATATATGCATTGTATATTTTCTATATTCATCAAACAACTTATAGATGTGCTTACCGGCAGATTTGTTATCAGTCGCTACAATTGTCCATAGAACGAAAACGGACCACAGTATCGGAGCGGCCGCGTTAAACAGAGCCAAGTGCGTTGAGTTATACAAGTAATCCTTATCAGTCAATCGGTATGGCCCAAAAGCGGCCAACATACCACAGGCGATTGCCACCAGCCACGCCGTACGCACTTGCGACTAGATCATCGCGCGAACATGAGTAAAATTATATTTGAAGACAAACAGGATTAATTTCAGTTCTTACTTTGTTGAGATTAAGCCGGCCCCGTTGATGCATCCAGTAACCGACCAGCAAACCCATCAAGTATACGGTGGCGCGGTGAGTGGGCAAAGTGTAGGTCAAGTCGAACGTTCGGTTCAATTGTGAAACGCTAATGAGAGAAAAGATACATTAACAAACGGATGCGGCTAACACGTTGTGAACATACTTAGATCCAAAGTATACGACCGTGGCCAAGTTGTTGGTTTTGACAGCCTGGTAACGCAGTATTGTCGACAGCGCCATACAACTTGCAATAATAGCCGTAGCCACAGTTTTGCTTTTGCGTAATAAGTACACCAGTGGGATTGCCAGCAGATACAGTTGAAAATCTATAGCCAACTGATGAGTGTGCGTCAGACACTGAAAATGAAAATAAGTGCATCTTATAAAAAAACCCTTTGCTCCCTGCGATTGTACAATACCATATTTTCAAATCCAAACCAATTTTGAATGTACAGTAGATTCCTCCACCAGCTTTTGTAACACAATTCTGCATGCCTTGTAACGACCATGTTCCACATAGGACCGTCATTCATGTCTGGTAAATATTTTGAGCAAATCAGCATTACAATTCCTAAAGTTGCAGTCAGTCTAAAATCAATTGTTAATTGCGGGTTTAATATACTTCATTTTAGTTAAAAATACCGATTATACATATATATGTAATATGTTTGATTGAAAAAAAAAACTGTTAAAAAATTAAATACTAACCGCACATAACGCGAAATAATACTCTTTATTGGAGACGACCGACATAGAGTATTAGCCGCCAATAAGCCACTTATAATTAAAAAGGAGTCGGTGTAAAGATAGGCTATCCTGCCAATGATTAACCAAGGTTTCGACATGTTCTGTAAGTTATTATTATTATAAATTAATCTGTAATTAATGGTTTTTTTTCTTTACATTCTTTCCCAGCATATATACCTTGGACATTTCAGTTTTGTTCAGATAAGGCAAAAACATTTTAGCCATAAACATATGGCAAATTAGCAGGGCTATCATGTTGAGAGCTCTGACGCCATCTAAGCTCTTGAAACTATTCTTGGACGGAGGAGTAATGAGAGCTCTCAAGTTTTTAAGAGGTGAAAACGAGTTCCTCACGACTCGCGCTATTCTCAATGCCAAATGAGCCCTTCGCTCCAAATCGGCTAAAAAATGTTATTAACAACGCAATTTAGTTTAAAAAATACATAAACGCATAAAGGTGGCTTCTAGTTTCAAAACTAAAAAGGCACTACCCTCCCTTCCAGCTTCATATATGATTTCAGTAGCTGTGTGTGTGTGTGTGTGTAAAGTGGGGGGGGGGGGTAAATTTACAAAATGTAAAATAAAACTTCCCTCTACCTCCTAAAAAAAGCCAAACTACGCCACTGAATGTTTTAAATTTCACTCACGATCAATTTCTTCAGAACAGGTCAGCGCTCCTTGACCCACCATGAACGATATCATGATGAGAAATGCCAGCACGGATCTCACCCAATCGAATTGATTCGACGGTTTGGATTCTGTTCGCTTCACCCGGCACATGTCATTTTCGACGAGCACTTCCAAATCATGCACTCCAAAAGTTGCTGCTTCCACCGCAGAGGCGATGTCGCTGGGTTTGCAAGAAGACGGCACGCATACGCCCCAATAGATTGTAGAGAATTTCGGTAAACGGTGGCCAAGCTTAAAAAAAAAAATCCAAACAACGTAAAAAATAACGACGAAGATTTAATGATATTTTTCAAAACACACATCGGTCAAATTGTTTTTCACTTGATGATAAGCGTGAATATCGTTATCGAATGGATTCTGTTTCAGTTGAATGGCAACCAGACAGTATTGCCCGATTAAATTATTGCCGTTGACACCTAAACACTCGTCAAAGTCTCCGAACTGGTTAAGGTTTCCCCTCAGTATTCCTGATGGTATTTTCGCTGTCGAATCGGCCACTGAAACGTAATACATATTATTTTTAAGTACCACAATCTACTGATATGTTTACTTATATTGTAAAACTCACTTTCTAAAGCCCATCTGTCCAGATTTTTCAATCCATCTAATAAGGATTTGACGTCGTTGCCACATTGCACGGACGTGCCGTTTCCATTGCCGAGCTCTTCGTAAAACCTAAAGGGGATAGACTCTAGGCCAGTCCCACAGACTGAAGAAAGGAATAGAATAAGAATTGACAACGCTGGAGCCAACATCGTTGATCGTTACTGAATAGCGAATGGGTACGAATAGCCGGTTAAAACGTTTGACTAGAAAACTACAGGAAATGCATATGCAGTGTTGTAGCGAATAACACATGTTTAAATACCTTACGGTTTCCTCTTAATGTAAATGTCCCGCAGTTAAATTTCCCTCGACATATATATTTTATCATGTAAATCATTTTTTGAAACACCACAAGTGATATCGTTATAAATTAAACCATTACATTATTAATCTACTTAGCCTGTAAATTTAGTACAAGCCAATAGGTATATACAAGCTCGATAATATTTTTACTACTGTCTCACAAAACTACGAATGAAATCATTCATCATTCATCATTTATCATACCTAACATCAAAATTATTTTATCAATTACATAACTTAATTATTATATTAAATGTAGTGCGATCGCAAGTCGCTTATACTCTTATAAATTTTTTCCATAGAGTATACCTAAAACAAAAACAAGTATGGCTAACAAAAAAATTGTTTACATATGTTTTGTAGAACTATAATATAAAATACATGTTGCCCATCCATATATATATATATATTTTCAACTATTATTTATTTATAACTAAAATTGAATAAAATAAAAAATTAGCAATTGTATATAGCAGATTTAGGTGGAATAAAATAAGAGGAATAACAAGAATGAATATTTAGCTTGCATATTATAAAAACAATGGATATTTACTTTCAGCTACCAAAAAAACAGCAATATATCTTAAGCTAGATTACTGTTTTTCTGGTACTAAAAGCAAATGTCAAGTGTTTTGATAATTTGCAAGCTAAATATTCTTAATAAAACTAACTTAAGCTAGATAATACAATAATTAACTAAACAAACCAGTAAAAACACTCAAAATATATATATATTTTTCAATATTTATAATTATGAATTCTCTTCAAAATTTTACCGTTTCGTGCAAAAATTACTATTACATGTAATGACAATATAAAACACAATATATTTATACATGGTAAACACATATATTTATTATTTAACAATAGTTTTATTGCTTTATTAATTATTAGTTAAAGAAGAACAACGCGTTGACTTTTCTATAAAAGAAAACGTTTTAGAACTGTCACGAAAATCAGTTCAATGTTATGTTATTGTTATTACAATATATTAGGTACACTTCGTAGATTCATTTCAATTTTTTTTTCTTTTTTGTAGCTAACTGAAATGCGCTAAGTGCTAGTTTTTGTAAGAAGCGTCGTAAAAACCTTACCTAATTAATCTATTAGGCTAAAATCTTAGTATTTAAATAACTTATACATTTTTAATGCCTTATAAAATGCATAAGCATGTTACATTTTTTATACATAAAAGTTTTGTACAGCACTAGTTTTATGATAAAACTAGTGTTTTATGTATTGTAATTGAAGTCGATTATTGAAGTACATAACATATGGTATAGGAATAGTATTTAAAAATCAAACTTTATGTCTTCAATTTGAATTTTTCTAATTTATATATTCATTGTTACAAAACATCCTAATATTATTTCTTATGCGTTACTTAAAACTATAAGGATTATTAAATAATATAAAAATTTTAAGCATTAATAATTACACGTTAATACAGTCTGATAAAGCAGTTCGGTAGGGCCAATCGCAAACCATTTGTTTTTTATTCCATACAGTGCCAGGTTGACAGGTGAACGTTGTGAGTTTTCCATGATTACACCTGGAGTACTGAAAAAAGACAATAAGATATGAAATTGTATTTCAACTAAATTTCCTATAACTTTATAACGTGATTTATATATTTTGACGACCGTTTTCTGGATTAAAAATAATGGAAATCACGATAATCCTATTATTTTGCCACAACGTTTAATAATTAAACGCAATCGCAACAGCTAATGTTAAAGCAACAAAAAATATAGCTCCCTTCGATATTTTTTTTTAACCCAAGATATCCAGGTAATAACTTATAAACCAGATTATAATACTATATAATAATCAGTGACGTATCTTGACCTCTATGTCGTATGCGGCTACACAGCTGCTAAAATGCGCACAAAGATACCTCACTTCTTATATTTTAATAGTTAATGCGTATACCTTATTACAATAGCTGTGTGGCAAAAAATCGCCTTGTCTACATCCCGATATTTGCTGCTCGTCTACCGGTATTTGTATTTCAACTTCATTTGATTCTTTCACCGTGGTCGTCGACGGGGTAATAATTGTTTGGGGAGTCGTATATTTCTTTTTTGAAGTGCTTTTCTCGGGGGGTATAAGCCAATCGGGCTAATGAGAAAACAAAAAAAACGTATAAAGTTTTAACGTCTGGCGGTTTTTTTAACACTTACTGTCGGCGTAGTAGTGAATTTTAAGTCGGGTGTCGTGTAAGTTTCCATGGCGTCTTTCAGCACTCTTATTAGTGGATTCTTAGGTCCGCAAATTCCACGAAAATCGTCCATGTCAACGGCCCAAGTCATCGCACCGCCATAACCTTTGCTCTTGATGTGTTCCATTTTCAACGTTAAACTCTTAACGTTATCGTAGCCTATCCATTGAGTGCCTAACCGAACACAAAATTAGATAAGTGTTAACAACACCGATTCGCTTAAAAATTAAAATCTGTCAACAATCTTTCTGCAACCTTTGTACATGTAAGGACACATTCCCACCGAATCCCACATTTCGGTCCACCCGTTGTTTTCGCCCACCAGGTATTCGCAAAGTTCGTAGTAAGCCAAAAATCCAATCGCTTGCGTGTAGTTGGCCGGTTCGCCTCCTCCGGCTTCTTTGTTGATGTACGTGCCGATTTTGTAATCGTTGTTGCTGGCGCTCAGAGTAAACGATCTACCGTAAAACGGTACCCCCATCACCAGTTTCTTCGGGGGGCATCCCAGGTCCACCCAGAGTTGCATACCGTCGGCCTGTGCGACAAAAATAATATTATAGACAAAATGTGTATTGTGGAAAAAATAAAATACATGCCACGTTAAGCTTCTCATATGCATATTGGTCCGTAGGTCGTTTGTACAACGGACTGTGGACGTCGGCGAACCCAGCCCAGTTACCTCGTAAATCGTAAGCCATTACGTGTATAGCGTCGACCAAACTGAAAAATTCGAAAGGAAAAAAAGTGATAAAACATACGAAACGTATATCGTGTGCTTAATTTACGCCCTAAGCGATCGCTTGCCTGCAAAGCCCCGGAACGTAATAGCCTTCCATTAGCCGAAACTTGGCCAACGGTACGGCCATGGTGAGTTCCCAGGTACGGTTTTGTTTTTGGAACTCTTCTTTCAGCTCTTGCACGAAATAATAGAAATTGTTGCGGTCCGAATAGGATCCATCCCGATCGGCCGCACCCGGATATTCCCAGTCTAGGTCGAGTCCATCGAAATCAAACTCTTTGAGAAATTCTGTTGGAAACACAATCGGTTATAACTTATACCCTAATTAGAATTAGCAAATCGCGGTATCGTTTCAGACCTGTTGCGCTGTTAATGAACGTCGCCCTCTTGTCGGGTGACGACACCATAGTGGAATATTTCTTGCCTCCCTCTGCCCACCCGCCGAGAGCCACCATCAACTTTACCTCCGGATACTGTTGCCTAAGACCCGTGAAGTTTTTGAAACCGTTTTGATCGAGATCTATCTGGAAAAAGGAAATATTTCGTCTAACATAAAAACTACCGTTTTTAAGTTCATCGCGTAGCTGTGTTATTTAATAATTTGTTAGTTTATTTGATAAAATCAATGATATATCATGTCAATCACGTCAGTAGCGGCTATCCCATAAGAAACGCATTGCTCAATTATTACCTTCAAAAGCGAAAGGGTTGGACAATGGTACCTTACAATATTTTGTTTAAAAATAGCGTACAAAGTTACCGGTCGGAGGGGTTAACCCATATTATATTGGTCAAGCAATACCTAATCCTTTTAGGATAGTCGTCCCTGCGTATTATCAACGACAAATTGAGGGAAATGGCCCACCGGGCATCAGTTTTAAATGATCTAATAGTATATTATCAGTTCACAGTCTGCGGGTCAAATTAATAATATGCAAGCGATCTATCGGGCATTAACCGATTGCCCGTCGACACGATCCGGGCAATGATTAATCCCTATAATTTTTAATTGTTAGTAACATAATATATGTACCTAATTGACATTTAACTAGGTTAATTGTTTTTTGTAACGCTTGTGAATGTAAATAGTACCTATATTAAGCTATTTTTACGATAAATCAGTTGCTGAGCACCACTAGGCTTAACAATTAGTACACCTACCTTGGGTTCGATAATGCTTATTCCCCAAGTGGTGTTGTCCAAGCCGACGAACGCGTAAATGACGTGAGTGCAGTCCTTCACGGGTATGTCGTCTATGGTGTACCTGCCGATGCCGGGTCGGTAAATGGCCCAGTTGCTGAAATAGCAAACGACTTTTGCGCAATCTGTACCGGAAATAAAACATTGGTATAAGGAAATTCCTTAAGCTTCGTTTCAATGTAAACTAACAGTTGAGAAGACCTTAGAAGGTTATTAGGGGTCAAAGTGCATTTTCTAAAAAATGTACTAGTATGTAAAGATTAGAATCTGTCGTATAATAATGATTGTGGTTTAGAGATTTTTTAATACAACTAGTTGTTTCAATTGACAAGCCCCAGTGATTGAAATTTACAAGTTGTAATCAAATATTTCATCGCAATACCAAATCCACGATTACGCAATAAATTCTAATCTCGGCGGATTTGTTTAAATATGTACTTTTGCTTCTAAGGTCTTTAATTTAAATATAGCTGCATCACTTACCCGCGTACGACGCAAAACCCAACACCGCCATCGCCAGCAACGGCAATAGACCGGCCGCCATCCTACTCTGTTTTTTGTTTTTAGTGATGTATTTTTACCACTAGGAAAACTGAAGGCCCGATGCGGTTCCCCAAAACGAACGTTCGTTATTGACTGGTCAACGGTCTGAGTTCGTATGCAATGATGTCTTCGATTATGACAGTGTCTAATTTATAGTCCGGACAAGATTGCGTCTCAATGTCAACGCACTCCTTTGTCCACAATACCAAAGAAACACACACACGCACTCGCTCACATATTAACCAGCAAACGTCCACTTTTAACTTTTCTCCGTCGAGGTCGGCACTGCGTGTAGTGGCCGTACGCGGTCGGGCCGATTAGGGACGGTCTTTGAATAGTAACGAATTAGCAGAGAAAGCCTACGTCTAGAACAAAGAGAATTAGCTGCTGTTGCTGCTGGTGGCGCTGTTGTATAGGCGCACTGTGTTAATGATACATCGAAATAAAGTCATTAAGCTTTTTTTTAGGTGATTTGTACCGTTTATTTTCTCACAAAAACTCATTAACGACAAAAAACTACATAAACCACTAAGATATAGTTTCATAAATACTATTAGGTTTAACAATAGCGACTAGCATAAAATATTTTTTTTATCTATATTAAACACAAATATATATATATATATATATATATAATAATATGAACGTTAATTAAGCGATATAGCTATAAGTACATTTTTAACAATAAACTATCAGTTATCACTGTAATATACATAGATACATACAATAAACGGACTGGTGCTTAACAATGTTATTGTTGGATTACCACGCTTAAACGTACTGTTATGGGATCACGTATTGGTCACAGTGGTTCTTCTTTATTAAATCTTCTTCAGGCGTTAAATTGTTTTTTGTAATACTCAACGGCAGCTCTCGGAACGGCGCGACGCGGTCCGGCAGACGCGTTACAGATAAAACTCACTTATAATGTTGTATATTAGACTGGGTAGGTATATCTAATTTAATTTAATTGTCGAGAGAAATACGATTTTCTCTCGGCGAAGAATTGATTTTAGCTCCGGTCCAAAGCATTGGTTTATACGACAATACAAATCTGTTGCGAGCGTTAAAAAACGTTTAATTACATACAACAAGAGTATAATTATTTTCTAATACTAGCCACTGATTCGGACGGTTTTCTTGGAAGTGATTTTATCGTTTCAAATCCATTACTAGATAACTCCAAACCACAGTGGCAAGTGAGTGACCGCTTGGATACAATATATTGTTGTACCTATGATTCTTATTGTTCAGATTTTTTTGAAACTATTAACTATTATTGTGACACTTTCCCAATGAAAATAATACGATTTCCCCCCCCCCCCCCCTAAACGCAGTATTTTATTATATTCTTTGGAGAACACATTATTCCATTAAGTCAGGTTAGACTTAATGCGCGCCGAGTGGCGAGCAGGTCCACCCGTGACTTGCATGATGCATCTACCTGGCAATAGCTGCTAAAAGTAATTAAAATTTCTTAGACAGACTATAACCTCATTACATACTTAATGAACAACGAAGTAACAATTTGTCCGTAGACGTTTTACATAAAATAATTATGCAAATAAAATACCTCGTTTCTTGGCAAAACTGTAGTTTTAAAAAAGGCAAAAACTAGAGCGGTCACTCTAATCCCAAGTTAACAATGATAGTTGTTCCAGTAAGGACTATATTGTAACGTTTAAAGATAATAGTATGCACTGTGTAATTATAAATACCAGATCATACACGGAAAAAATACATAGTTGGTCCAACTAAAATTATGGTTAATATAAGGACACAATACATTTTTAGTTGGAATAACTGATAAGTTGGCCCAACTAAATTTTTATTTGGCTGAACTAAATGTATAGTTTCTTCAACTGCTTCGCTGAAGAGCAAAGGCTACATTGTATATCTTTGTCGATTCTAATGCGGAATTGAGAATTTTCAAGTTACAATTAGTGAATTCAGTGATCTGGTTCTTGAGGTTGTAACTTGTGTATAATATATTAAAGAATAAATATATCGTTCGGGTCTTCAAGATATAATTGAATGGCGTTATGCAAAAAGCAACCAACCCACAAAAAAAAAAATCGAGATTTTAGTTTAACTAGTGTATCTTGATTTTTTTTGTGGGTTGGTTGCTTTCTGCATAACGCCATTTAATTGTAGTTATTGATTCAAATGTATTCATTTATTTATCAAAAATGGACCTTTAAACATAGAAATTATAAAGCTAAATCATCATATCTCAATACAGTTGTATTTAATTTAGTGAAAGAAAACTCTGCTTTTTATTTAACTTTATTTCATACTTAATTAACTTCTTCTACTACAATACTTGCTTAAAAAACTACATTTGCCATCTAATTATTTGGTAAATAGATATATGAATTCTTTGTATTTCTACTCCAGATCATATACATCATCTCAACATTCTACAAATAATATTATGGGGCGATCTCAGCCACTTCAGCACTCGATTCCCAAACTCTTCTATGATCAGGAGGTTACCAAGAGCTATCTACCACCATAAACGCGATCGATAGGTGGTCGGTGGTTGTCGAGATAAACTTAAATGCACGTGTGAATATATTATTTTATTTTTTCTTCAACAATCTTTAATATAATATCAACCGTTTGTAAAGCCATTTATGTTCTTAGTTAGGTACTCAAGGTCAAGTATATTCTCAATTTTCTCTTCACCGTTTATTTATTTTCCCAATACTCGAACATTTCTCATCGTATCCGCTTTTTGAATTTCATTAGACTTAATGATTTTTGATTTACACAAGTTGAATTGCAATTTATATGGTAAATCATGATTGCACAACTTGAACAGGTTTTATCAGTTCTAGCTTTACAAGATTCTGCAATGAAGCCGCTATGATATTTGCAGTTGTCTTTTGATACCCGCCCGATGTCAACATGACCAACGGTATGTTGTTATCTCTGGCAACTTTGAAAACCATTTCATCTCGTTCAATTATGCCCTGTAGTTTAAAAATTAAAACAATAACCGATTATAGTCTAGATGATAACAGCTAATAGCAGCTATTAACACGAGCATGTTACCATGTCGATTAATCAGGGCTGGAAAAATTTGACCAATAGTGTTAATAAATTATAATACGTATAAATGGAATTTTGGAACTTCAAATTGTCAAGATGAACTTAATGGCCCGCCGCACCGCCCGGGGAACCAACTAGACTTTGTTTACTATTTTTAAATAAATTTAACTATCCAGTTTTATGAAAATGCTGCTTATTGAAATATAGTTTAAAATAACATACGTTTTATGGGAAATAAGCTTTAAGCTTCTAAAAATAAACTCAACAGACAATAGACTTTAAGCTTTTAAATTTTAGAATAACATTATTGTCTATTTATGAAATGTTAGTGTATGCAAGGAAAATATAAATATAAAATGTAAATGAAAAAGTGAATTTTGTAGATATGATTTACAATTATATACACCTACAGATTTTTGGAATGCATAATTATATAACAATATAAAATAAGAAAACGTTACTTATACCTAGTACCACAGCCAGTGAACTACTCTATATTTTATACACAAAATACTTGGCATTTAATTACATTTGGGTACATATTTTAAGTAAGGAAAATTTAAATCGTGCGGTACTATATGATTTTGGCTAAGACGATAAAACAGGTGAACACCATATGACATATTTCTATTTAATTGCCAATAAAATATAATTACTCATTATAATTCTTATTGACGAATAGAATTGATGTTTCAATGGTCTTCCGCGTTTTGCTTCTTACTACCTGTTAACTACTAGGTCATCCGTGATTCGAAATTATAACGATTAAACAAAATTACAAACAAAGGTTTTTTGTCATATTATAAACTTTTTATACAATGACTAATCATATATAATATACATGTACAAATTACAATGCGTTTATGAAATATTTACGGCGTTCAACGATGTTATTTTATTTGAACCAAACCACAAATACAATAATGGTCGATAAATAAATCGATTTGATATGTAGGTATAACAGTAAAAATAAAAACTTGCCTGCGGACTAATAGAGAGTAGTCCTAATTGATCTCCTTTCAACACGTCAGTCCCTGCATTATAGACAATGAAATTTGGTTTAACTTTCAAAAGCGATTCCGTCAAAACGCTGAAAATTAATGAAAATAATTTAATTCAATTATTTTATAATTAAATCAAGTGCCTAACAGAATATAACAAAATATTTAAAATGACTCTAAAGAAATCAAATTCAAACGGATCACAAACCAAATAATATACTACTATGAAATAAGATTCATAACGATACAAGATATCGCTACCAAGTACCGATAAAAAATTAATTAAAGAAATCATACGTGTTTTTGTACAGAAAAATATATAATATTATGTTTAACACAAACAATAATTTCAAAAGTTAACGTACTAGTACGAGTATTTGTAATAAATTTATCTATGGGAAGCGTGATTATTTATTTTTATTTTTAGGGATGCGTGAACCAAAAAAGTTTGGGAACCGCTGCAATAAGCTATTGACATGAGTAAGTAAAAGTCCAAATGTGAACACAATTTTGATTAAACTGAAAATATATTAGTATAGCTTACTCATAGCTAAAGATTAAAGGTGATATTCTGATAAATAAGGTCTAGGGTAAAACACTTAACATGAAAAATTAAAATATGAATTAATAAGTTTCAACATGTAAATGTACAAAAGGTTAAGTTTGCATAACTGTATTTTAGAGGTTTAACTGCGATGTGTCATGTGTAATGTTTAGTTCAGTAGTTAGGACTCATTTTTTTTTTTTGTAAATTGTTTATTTTTCGGATTATTACAGCATCTTTGTCAGTCATTTGAAAAAAAAAAATGTTATCTAAACATGTTCTCTCAAACAAGAAAAAGGTACCCTTTAAACTGATTTTAGAGATAAAACACCTATAATAAAAAAAGGAGGGGGACAAGATTTCTGAGGGAATCTTGTACACGTTTTGCATGGTCTATAGTGCAAAAGGCAATATGATGGATGCAAAAATACATTTTTTTCTGCTTGATAGTTTTAAAAACGCATACGAGATTCCCTCGGAAATCTATTATAGGTAATTAATCTCTAAAATCACTTTAAAATGTACTTTTATATATTTTGTGCCAACAGGTTTTTTTCATTCAAAATCATTGATGACATTCCTCTATACCATAGTATTTTCTTATTCTAGGTTGCTATATGTGAGTGAATCAACAGTCAACAGGTATTTGAAAAAATATTTTCATTATATTGTTAAATATGATATATAGTAACAACGGCAACAATATAATATTTAACAACATAATCATAGACAGATGATCAATCCTAATTGTATCGTCCTTAATACTCAAAATATAATTTTAAGAACATTTTAGCTTTTACAATACTTTTATTGATTTTTTACTTCTAACATCTAAATATTTGTATTAAAGTGTTTATTTGAAAGTGGTGTTAACACTTTTAGTTATAATAATTATTCCTGAAGACCTGTGATCTCACCCACCTCAATATGCCTGTTACTACTATGGCTGGACTTTACTGTGCTGATTTTTATATTTTATTTTTAATGTGTAAAATGATTGTCCAATTTTGGAAAACATATTTAATTTTAGAAAACAATTTTTTTTTTTTTTGGTTATTGAGTAAAATGTGATTTTTGCCTGGATCCGGACCCTGGGATATGAGTACATTACATATAAAATATTATAATGATGTTTGATAACTAATATTATGCATTCCACTAAATTAAAGTTAAATATTAAAATAAGTTTTTCTAATAAAACTGTATTAATTCCTCTATATTATGCTAAAACGCTCATAAAAAATAAAAATAAAAGACTTGACCATGCAGGTTACTACAGGAAGTACAAGTGTAAACTGAACAATGTCAATAGGTTATCATGTTGTTATACATACATGGATGTTTGCAACAAACATGGGCCTGTTAAGTACATATTATACAGTAAATAATATTAAGGCTAGATTATTATTAGTAGATAAATAAGTACACAAAAATATTAATACATTAGCACTACTTAAGTACTAATGCATACTATCAGTGTATACCCTACAACTACACCGTTTGCATTTAATTAACGAACAACTAATTATACAAAAAATAAAATAAATAATGTTTAATGTAAAAATATAATTTAATTTTTATTCCTGTTTCTCAATTATAATTTTTACCTTTCCAAAGAAGATAAATATTCATAATCTTGTACAAAATTATCTAATTTTACTGCACGCGATATTGCCCTCTCTGCAATGGCATCTTTTGGGTAAATATTTTTGTTATAAATATCAATAATAAAAACTTTTGAATTACCAATAAAGTCTTTTTCATATCCATTACCCTTAAAAAATATATTTTTACAGGAGAACACAAAACTTTTTAAACTATTCTTGCTTTTACCTGATGTGCATCTAAATCGATGACCATAACTAAATCGTAACTGTTTTCTTTTAAAGCATCGTTAATAACAAAGGTAATATCTGCATACGGACAAAATCCTCCTCCTTGATCTTTACTACAATGATGAAAACCTCCACCTAAATTAATAGCGACACCTTCTTTGCGAGCTACTTTACCGGCTAATCTTGTACCACCAACTTGAAACCTATTAACAAAACAACATAAACAATAAACAAATACAATAACTTAAATATTATTTTAATACTCTTATGTTTATACAATTTAATATACCTTATAGGTTTTAAATATTGTCTTTGCACTAAGAAATTAGGAAGAATAGCGACCACAGGAATTTCTGAGATACGTGCAGCTGTGTAACTCCACTATAAATTAACAAACAATGAATATTTCTTTTATAACTTGAAAAAATTATTTAAACCTAATACTTATAAATTTTAGGTACCTACTTTTAGACTACTGAGATAGCGTTTAGTATGTATTTCAAGCAACTCTTCCTCTGTAATCTCATTTGGAATATAAATGTTACTTTCATTCAAACCAATTGTTTTCTTAAGAATCTGAAACATTTAGTTAATAAAAATAACAAATGTATAATAAAAAGTTATTAAATTGAAAGAAATTAATATGTGTATGATTCACACATAGAATTACTGCATAATTTAAAAGGTATAATAATGCTAGTAGTTATAACCAAGAGCGGACTACCCTTTCAATATTTTACTCTATTTCTCTTAATCATATTTTTATTTAAAAAAACTAAGCGTTTAATAATATTTACATTACAATAGGAATTAATATTTCATTTTATACATTATGGTTATAATTATAACTATAAGAATTAAATAGAGTATCTGATACGGCGTGCATATTCTCACATTATGCTTGTACAGTAATGCATTTCAATGCATAGGTATACTTTTACAGATAGTTCAATCAGTAAAATACTTATTTTAGCCTTCAAGTGCTAATGTGTTTGAAAGTTACATCATCGTGTGGCGGCATTTATACCGCTTTCTATCTTATATGGGGAAATTTTGAAACTTATAATTGAATTTACTTATGAGTTTTGTTTTTTGTAACTAGAGAATACCCGACGGTCCTTTCAGGCTGACTTAACACATTTAGATGTGGTACGTATTTTTTAAAAAGGGCAGTGTTAAGGCGAGTGCAAGAAGGTTAAATTAGTATCTAATGCAATATCAAGTGTAATTGTTTGTATACACAAGAGCAATTATACTTACTTCAAAAATATGTCCCCACTTTTTTGAATCAAATGGATGTAAATTTTCCAACCCAAAAAATTGAATATTATACTCGTTTCGATAAACTATTGGCCAGAGGACTTTAATTGACGAGTCCATTGCACAATCTAAAATGTTAAAAGTAAAAAATCTTTAAAATCATCACTTAGATATAATATTTTTTTTACAAAACATGTCTTTTTGGTGGGGGACAATAAAAAATGTGCGTTATGATACATAATATTATAATATCACATAGAATTACTATGGTTATCAACAGGCTATGAACAATATAATTAAATGTTTTTTATATCATTAGCCACTCAGTACTCGTACATTATTTTCTTTGTAAGAGAGTCATCACTCATCATGTGAATTGAGTGAAAACAAAAATAAATAAAAGACATGTTAATAATCCAATATCTTTTAATTAAATAATTTTATGTGTTGAAGATTCCATAGATTGAAATTTATTATTAAGATTTATATTTTGATTGAGTATATGATATATCCACATGTTTCTAATGTGCTAACAATTCTGCTTTGCTGCTAAGTGCTGACAAGGGTGGTCGCAAACATACATTTAGGGAGGTGGGAGACCCATTCTTATGTAATTTGTAAAATTTACAAATATACTATAGATCAAAGATAAACTGGCTACATACATATTACAAAAAAAATATGAAAATAGATATGTGAAATGTTAAAAAAATTGTGGTTCATAGAGTTTTGTGGAACAAAAGAATTTGGCTAAAAGTACATGGCTTTACCATTAGTTAAATACATATAGATGGCTCATGCAATGTTAAAAATTGTTTGTTTATAAATTGGAACTAGAGCTAAGAGTACTTAGAGGGTGTTTCTAATATTTGTACTGCAAGGTGCTATTGCTATTTATGTGTACAAAGGCTTTATTGAATATGTAAGTATATTTGACAAAAATTTAACTAATCAGTAGTAAAACATCATAGAAGAGAATGATATGACGTCTACATACTTTTAATAAAATATTTAAATAACAAATACTTTTATAAAAAAATTATATACAATATTTTTTTAATTGTCTCTTCGACTTTAAGAAGCACACCCTGCTACTGTAACTAATGTAAATCTAAATTAAATATTTAAATTTGATTATATCGGTATTCACTTTTTTATTTATTTACAAATGTAATAGTCTTGTAATTTTTTTTACCTTTTTCCAATTTTATCTATTTAAGAAGAAGAACTTCTCAATATTATTATCCTAAAGTAAACTTGCACAATTCAGGTGTTTTAAAAATATTTAGTTTAGGACTAAATTATAATAGAAAGCTTCTTTATTCATAAAAATAACATCAATTTCCATCACTACTTAAAAGTGAAGTGAAATATTAAATGATTGTAGTAACCGAATACCGACTAATACTAAAACTTAGTTTTCAGTATTTTTCAAATTAAATAGGTAGGTAGGTGTTGAACTATTAAACCACTGAATTTATTCTGAGATTGAACAAAACACATACAAGTGATAAGGTGAGAATGATATCAATATTTACTATAAATTATATTATCATATTTTGTAGTATTTGATAATAAACATTCCAATTTCCAGTTCATTCACAAAAATCAAAATGTACCGGTTGCGGGCTGACGGACTAGCATAAAGTTTTGAATTCTTATGGACTTCCACGGGCCACGGCTAGGACTAGATTAGGCCTAACTCCTAATAGTCAATACCCAAATCATATTGATACTTTAACAGTGTTGTGTGAGCTTGCTACTATACATAGACCAATAAAGATTCTTTATAGGTCTATGCTACTATACAGGAGAGACTAAAAACTAATTATTCTATCACTGAGCACTACCACTCAGATGTGCATAACATAAAAAAATGCATTGACTGGTGAAGAGAGAGATGGGACGCTCTAAATTTATATTGGGTCGTTTTAAAATTGTCCATGAAGAAATAGTAAATACATAAACTCAAAATAATGTCATCCTTTGTTATGTACTAAATTTCAGTGTTAAAAATTTTGCTTCTTCTTAGAAATAACTTAAGATCTTGTACTGGTTATGGTTTATATCTGTATAAAAATTTCAGCATAAGTAATAACATTGAGTATATACTGTACAGTATTATATACTCAATGGTAATATGATTAATACAGATTAAAATTTAAACCTACAAAAATAAACATATTATTTTTTAAAACTCATTCAGATAACCCTAACAATGTAATATTAGACGTATAGTTCGATCGAAAATTGGCTTGCCATAAAAGCATACGACAGGGACCATTCAATCAATGGTACTACTTAACCATTAGTAATCAGCTGTAAAGCCTAGTTCACACTATGCAGTATTTTAGTAACTAATCGTGTATGAGCAGACCAATTTAGTCGAGTAGTTCAGCAGTTAGTAAATCACTTACCACTTGACTAAAATACTGGCAAAGTCTGAGCTATTAGCTAAAATTTTCAAATTCTAAAAACATGAGAAATTCATCAGTATAAGTAATTACTAAATAACCAGTTTCCAAAAAAAAAAAAAAACAAACTTTATCTTACTATAAAAATACAGCATGGTATAAAAGACAACTATTAAGCACACTTGTTTATATTGAGGCTGTATTAAAATATGAATATATATAGTATTAAATAAAGTACCTAAAATAATTAATATCACAGAAAAATTCACCTATAACATTTTTTGATATAATATTTTTTTACAGAAAACAATTACACCAATTGATTTAAAACTATGGTAACAACTACGTTTGTAAAGTTTTAAGCCAGTAAGAATTATAAAAAAAAAAAACATGTTATATTATCAAGAAAATATTGCATATTAAATAACAATACCTCATTCATACTATGTTTTAACTTTTAACTGTTGATGAAAAACAGTTAATAGATGCTGCATTAAAATGTTTACCAGCAATTAATGATCTTAATTATTATGCTAATAAATCAACGCAACAGTTTAAGTTTCAACTCGATGTTTTAAAATATGCCTATACCACACTCCTTAAGATATAGGCGGTATAACGTCCTCTTGGAAAAAATATAACATAAATTAAAAAAAAAAGTTTATAATATTAATTTGTATTGTCAAAAATATTTTGAACAAATAGACATAAAACTAAATTAGCAATGACAATTTCTGCTTGGTAGTTGATAAAATAGTTTAAAAAAACTGATAGTTTATCTATAATTTATACAATTAATTATATTTTTTAATAACGTATACAATCCTTACTGCAATAAATTTCAAAAAGGCGTTTTCTAAGGAAAATACAAAATTGTAATACTTAATAAGAAATATTTGTTGAGAAATTTTAATTTCCTTTATTTTCTTCAACTTCACTACATGTGACCCATTTTCCACTTTTGTTTTCTTTCCATAGAGATACTTTATTACTTTCAGCAGACACTGCTAAAACATTCCCAATTTTTGACCAACTGACAGTCCATACACGGCTATCAAATAAATGCATTCTTGTTGATATCCATTTTGAGTAATCATCACTGCTGGAGACTACAACAGTTTTATCTTCAGAACAACTTGCTATAAGTTGTCTATTATCCCCAACGGTACATGTCCATGCAACATCTCGAACCCAATCAGTATGAGAATTGATCTCCCCAATCTGTACCCAACGATCTCCTTCATCAACCCACATTTTGACCAAATTGTCACATCCTCCTGTTGCTAACACCAATTTCTTACCAAAATTCATTTGATCTGGTCCAAATAATTGTTCTTTGTATGGCGCCCAAGCAACACAGTTACATCCATTGTGATGGGCACCGAAAGCTTTAGAAGACCATTCTTTATTAAATACATGCACAGCAACAGATCCATCTGAACTAGCACTCGCTAAAACAGTACCATGTTGATGAGGTGCCCAAGCTATTGCATTAACTGATGATTCATGAGCATATTCAAAAATATTATACCAGTCATTAGATTCTTTCCATACAACAACACGTTTGTCATAAGAACATGATGCCAATAGATGACCAGAGACCGGATGGGACCAGGATATTTGCCAAACTGGTCCATGATGACCTTTGATATCAGCTAAAAGGGTTTTATTACCATTCTGAATACTATATATCTTTATAGATTTATCACTGGAACATGTAGCTAGGCGTTGGCCATAGTAGTCTAATTCAGCATCATGCACTTCCCCTTCATGTTCATTTAGAACTAGACCAACCATCGGAACCATCTTCATGCTTTAAATATTTTCGTTGTTAATACTTATTAAACCTATTAGGAAAAAAAATGTAATTAATGAACTGAGAACTATATTTATAAATTAAACATTTTTATATTTGTTTGAAATTATTACCTTTTAAACACAAAAGATCCGACAATTTCAACTCTTTCTAGAAAAAGAACAGCTAAAACAATTACCAATTTATTCAAAATTACATTTTTTTTTATAATAATGTGAGAAATTAGTTAAATTTACAAACAAGTTAGTATGCTATTTCTTATCAGTGCTAATGATAATTTGTTTTCCACGCCACGAATATAGAACGTTACGCGGCGTTTGTAAAATGATAACGTTTATCATAAAATATTATTTTATCATCACCTCATCTGTATTTTGTCATCATCATCCACATGGCATCAGGGAAATGGTCGTGTGGTCCAAATTTGGCAATTAATATTTAATAAAATTAATTACATTGCTACATTTTCTTTAATTTAAAAATAAATTAATAAAGAATTTAACAAACATCAATATGTTTTTCCTTTATTTTTAATAAAATTTTATTTTTCTCATTATATAATTTTTGCACAGATCTTTTTATTAATGGTTTTTTGGTGTTATAAGTAGGTAAGTTTTTAAAAATCGTATTATTTTATCATATTATTAAATTAAATAATAAGCCTATAAATTTAAACTGATATTTTTATGCATAAGATTTTGAACTATAAGATTTTTAACAATTATTAACTAGCTGTAGTTAGTTAGTGCACAATATTAAACCAGATTCTTCAAACTAGTTGAAACTTGAAACCATTGATTTGTAATTAAAATTAAAACTGTTTATAAACTGTTTGCCTTATCTTTAACTTATTTGGTATGTGAATGCGAATTGTCAGTAAAGTATGTTTATCGAAATCAGATAATTACACTTAATATTTAAAGTAGCTCTACATAACTATTATTAAATAACATCAAAAAATTAACAAAATTTGCATTACATATTACATACCGTATACATTTAGCTTGGATGTATCATATTTCTCGACACTTCATTCACAGCAAAATCTAAATAGCTACAGAAGCCGGTTATTCTTCTATATCTTATGTTTATACTATCTCTCCATCAGTATTAATTATGTATATTACATGTTTTTTTATATTATTATCAGCATTTCAATATTCTGTTAAAAATAACGATCAAGCGAGGGCCACTTAATAGTATTAAACATAATTTATAATTATACATTATTAATAAATAATATTTTGTATTATTATGTTCAATATATTAATTAAAAAATAATTTTTTAATGTTTTCATTTTATTATAGAAAGTATGTCTGTCACCAAAAGAACTCAACCAACTTGGGCTGTTGGAAATCCATTAGAATCGCCACAGTTGAAACTGTATAACAGTTTAACGAGGAGAAAAGAAGTATTCGTACCAAAAAATGGCAATAAAGTTCTTTGGTATAGTTGTGGACCTACAGTTTATGATGCTTCTCATATGGGCCATGCTCGGTAAATTAAAATAAAAAATACTATTTTACATATAAATATATAATATATTGATACATTGATTATTTTATTTTTGTATAGAAGTTATATAACATTTGATATATTAAGACGGGTACTAGGAGACTATTTCCGTTATAATGTTGAGTATGTTATGAATATCACCGACATTGATGACAAAATAATTAAACGAGCACGACAACTGCACCTCTTTGAAGAATATGTAAAGAACACTACAGTTAAACAAACTATATTAAGCGATATCCTATTGGCTCTAGAGGATCTAGAAAAAAATGTTAACCAAATGGATGCTGATAAAAAAGCGATGACTGTCAAAGCCATTGAAAAATTGAAAGTGACCGCAGAGATATTTGAAAAATCTGCAAATGCTATGGATGATTTGAAAGTTTGTGATAAATCAATTCTTCATTAAATCAATTTAAATAAACTAATTAAGATATATATTTTTAGTCTGCTTTAAGTGAAATCAAAGATTCTTTTAGCGCATATTTGGATAAAAGAGATTGTTCTAGTGTTTCAGAAAACAGTATATTTGTTTCACTACCACGATTTTGGGAATCGGCTTTTCATACAGATATGAATGCATTAAACGTTGAGTATTTAGTTATTTAGTCACTAGCTTAAAACTTGCTTTGTATGTATAAAATTTGTATTGTAACTTACTCAACATTAAAATTTTTTATAACAGATTTTATCACCAGACAAACTTACTCGAGTCAGTGAATATGTTCCTGAGATCATTGATTACATAAAAAAAATTATTGAAAATGGTTATGCTTACGAATCAAATGGTTCTGTATATTTTGATGTAGCTGCATTCGATTCTAAGCCTAATCATCATTATGCTAAACTAGTTCCTGAAGCATATGGAGATTCCAAGTCTCTTCAAGAAGGCGAAGGTAAATGGATACATGACAACTATTGAATATATTGTATAAATACTTTATAAGTATTTGTTAGTTAACGAGACTACCGTAAAATAAAATAAATCTTATTAAAATTCTATACATACTAATTCTGAAATAAATAGGTATTAATACAATATTTGATTATATTATTTTATTAAAAAAATATATATAATTCATTTTTAAAAGGATAATAAATTATAATTTTATTTTCGATAAAAGCTTCAAAAATAGTTTTACATTTCCTCTACAGATCCTTGAAAAACTCTTTAAGCTCCCACAGAATTTCGGTAAAAAGGAAAAAAAATTATTTGGAGGCTATGCCTAATTAATTCCTGACATTTTTGAGAGCCTAAATCCATTTATAAGGTTGATCTTCCTTAGCCCTTACCCCTTGTTGTGTTAATACCATTCACTAACCTAATCTAGCTTACCCTACTAATAATCCAAGTCCCTCTTTGGTTAAGAGAAACGTCAAAATTATATAAAATTACTTAAAAAATATTGAGAGGTTAATTTTTTTAGTTAAAATAAGCTGTATAATTAATTTTGCTAATAACTTTTTAGGTGACTTATCAGCGAGCACATCAGTTGAAAAGAGATCGCCTAATGATTTCGCTCTGTGGAAACAATCAAAGTTAGGCGAACCGTGGTGGGAATCTCCATGGGGAAAGGGACGACCAGGATGGCACATTGAATGTTCAGTGATGGCTTCTAGTATATTAGGTCAAACATTAGACATTCATACAGGTGGCATTGATCTTAGATTTCCACATCATGATAATGAAATAGCACAAGCAGAAGTAATATTAAAATTATTAAAACAGTTGTTAACATTTATTTTTATATTATAACAAATATGTCATTTTTCATTTAGGCATATTTTAATAACGAAGAATGGGTTCGATATTTTTTGCACTCTGGTCATTTAACAATATCTGGGTGCAAAATGTCAAAATCTCTTAAAAACTTCATTACTATTGATGATGCTCTGAAATGTCATTCTTCAAGACAACTGCGACTTGCATTTTTGTTGCACTCATGGAAGGAAACTTTGGATTATAGTGAAAGTACAATGGAATCAGCTGTGGCTTGTGAAAAACTTCTCAATGTTAGAATTTTATCAGTTTGAATTATTTATTCAGCTAGTTCAATATCTTCTTTAGTATTTTCTAACAAAAGTGTTAATATTTATTATGTTATGTTTTAGGAATTTTTTTTAAACATTAAAAATGTGACAAGAAGGTGTGATACTGATAAATTAGCCGAAAGTTATTCTAAATGGACATTATCGGAAAAAGAATTAGATAGGAAATTTACCCTAAGTAAATCTAATGTTCATGCTGCACTTTGTGGTTAGTATTTATTTTTTTAAACTATTATTTAACCATACTCTCATTTTATTTTAATGTTTTTAGATAATATTGATACAAAGTCGGTATTAGATACCATTAGAGAATGCATTTCTGCCTGTAATGTATACTTAAGAGATTGCGACGCTACCAAGCTTAATGCCAACTTATTATTAAATATTGCGAAATATATTACAGGAATATTAAAAATATTTGGTATTAAAACCGCCGAAGAAATTGGTTTTCCAGTGTGCGATGGAAGTTCATCTAATGATGTAACGTCCGCTTACTTTTTTCATTTTGTTTTAATCCTTATATTATTATTGTATACATCTTACCAAGGTATTCATTTAATTTTTTGTAATTTATAGGTCGAGTCTATTGTCACGCCTTTTCTGGGTATTTTATCAGATTTCCGTGACTCAGTTCGATCAAACGCTCGTGCGATTGCTTCAAAGGACATTCTCATTTTATGTGATAAGCTTAGAGATGAAATTCTTCCAGATGTCGGAGTGCGTCTTGAAGATGCAGAAGGTAAACCAACAGCTGTTAAATTTGTTGGACGGGAAACCATACTACGAGAAAAAGAAGCCAAAGCTAAAGTCGAAGCTGAAAAGCTAGCAGAGAAAGAACGAAAAAAGAAAGAATTAGAAGAAGCAAAAGCTAAGAAAGAAGAGTTAAAAAAAGTACATCCTAAAGATTTATTCAAATTGGATACTGATAAGTATTCAGAATTTGATGAAAATGTAATTCTATATTTTATTTTTATATATTATAGTTTAATCTTATTTTTAAGATATGGCCTAACTCCTTTACCACAATCAACAATCTGACTCTGTCTGGCAGTTTCTCGAGACAAGCTACATTAACTTTCCTGTCAGATTCTTAAGATGGATTTACACGTTAAGTGAAAAACTGGACGTGTAAATCTTAAATGATTCACAACAATTTCAGTTAATTTGCTTATGCTGCTACACAGTAATACCATACATAAATAAGTTTGTGCGGCTTTACTGAACAATGTAAACTCACCTTAAAACTGTTTAGGTCACCAGCTAACTCTAACCCCAAAAACCTGTCTTATAGAAATATGAAAATTAATTCAATAGAATAATTTATTTATATGTGATATTATTTTTTTTATTCAGGGATTGCCTACAGTAGACAAAGAAGGTAACAAAATTAGCAAAGGATTAACAAAAAAGCTGCAAAAAATACAGTCGACCCATGTTACATTACATCAACAATACTTGGACAGTATTAGTAAAGTTAATTAAGTGATCAATTGAATTAAATAATTATTGTATTAATAATAAAAATCTCAAACTTATTGTTAATACAACTTGTATTAACGTATAGTGGTATAATATTTATTTTATAACACAAATGTATTAAAAATTATTTATTCTGTTGGTTTAAAAAAACGAACAAATCCTTTCATCTTCTGAATCTATATTTTTTGAAGTTTAAATCGATTATTAAAAATTATTTTATTTTATTTATCGAAAAGGAAACGATAATAAATTTAATTTCAATAAACATAATAATAATAGTGAATCTAGAAATAAAATGTATACCGAAGTACATTTTTAATATATATATATAGAGAGAGAGATAATAAATTATTGTAATATTTAGCCAGTACTCAATAAGTCTAATAAAAACCAGTATTTAAAAAAAATAAACTTACGTTTAATATAAGCATTCTAATGTGTTATTTGTTGTTTACTATTCATTCGTAGTTCTCTTATATCCAAGCAAACTACAATTAGATAAGGTTGGAATACATTCTTTAAAGGTTATTTTGTAATTGAATTGGTCGAATATTCCTGTGTCAAATTTTGGTTTCGTCAGCGGCTAATTGGGCATATAAAATCGTAAGTGCTTATGGTCAATTAATGTTGAGATATAGGAAGTAGTTAAATTTTTCTGTCATATTACTGAAGAAAAGAAAAATTTCTATTAAATTTTTTAAATGTTTAAATAAATTCGTAAATGAACAGAATATTACTCCTACTATTATTCTTATAGGCAACATATTTTGTTTATATGTTATCGTAGCTGCATTTTTGAATGGACAATGTGTTTTTTTATAGCTAACGGTTCAATTAAACTAAGTCAAATTGCATTTCTTGAATGTTTTTAAACGAGTTTTTGAAGTAATTCTTGACGTTCCAGTAACTATACTTGTACTTCCTGTACATGTAGATTGAGAGCTTCGATGATAGCGTATACATTTTGATTGCTACCAGGTACCTAGTATATTTCAAATTTACGAATTATTGTTATTATTATTTAAATTTAACAATTTTAATTATTTGTATTGTTTGTACTTACTTTAAATTAACAGTCTTTTGCATATGAGACGTATTATTACTTTTTGAGTGGGAGTGATATATTTTGTTATTAGGGCCAAAATGGAATTACCTTTTTTTTTTTTTTAGTTAAAATTGATGTCCGCTATAATTTACAGTTTAAAAATATATAACAAACATATTAAGATAAAAATATTAGGGTATTTATATAAATAGCAAAATAACTAAAATAAACCATTAAGAATAATTCATTTTATTGTCTGCTTCTTATCTATTTTTTTAGCTTCGCTGTGAAATTTAAAACGATTTTATAAAAATGTGTTTTTTTTTTATTAAAATTTTATCACAGAACAATTTACAGAGAATTTGTACAAAAATTAGTGTACAGTATTAAAATGTATACGGTTTAAAAATTAAAAATATTTTATTACAAATTACATGATATTATAGTAACTTAAATTCCAATGAATAAAGAAACTGGTGTTTTTATGATAGCCCAGCAACCATTTCAAAATTTAATTATAATTTATTTCGCTACAACATATTATTGATAAATTAAAATAATATATTTGTATACTGTTATATAAATGATATAGACTCAATTCGTCAGTTACTTCATCATAATAGCTAGAGTAAATTCTACATAACTGGTTTTATTATATTATTACAATTTATGCATCAACACTGAACATACGTTGAAATGACAATAAAAAAAAATATATAGTATTAATACTTCATATTGATGTTTTCTAAACAAAAAAAAACACACTTTTATTAAAAATAAATGTTATTTATTATTTAATTAATATACTATAACATTTTAAATATACAACTTATTAGTTACAATTAAAATTGTTTTAACCACCGTAAGCATTAGCAAAACGGGTTTGTGTATGCAAACACATAAAGCGAACAATAAAATAAGATTTGGAAAAAAAATAGTAAGAAGAAATACAAATAAATTTAAATCTAATTTAATTAAAAATTCCGTACAACGGCGAATGAAAAAAAGCCAACTCAACAGTAAAAATAACTTTGTAAATAAACAAAAACAAATTCCGTACTTGGGTAAACGAAACAAAAATTAAATACTTTCTTAATTTTTTGCTTACGTGCCACGGATTTTAACAATTCATTGTGGCATTTAATTAAGCATTTAAGCACTTTTTTAATCAATTAATGCATTTTGAAGTAAATTGTGTACACTTGTCACTTTTTTTTTAAATTTGTTAGGTAGGTAAAGCGTTTTGATATTTTAGTAACAATTAGTCAGTGGCACAATTATATATTTGATATCCTCTCAATATTATTAAATTAAAATTGTCAGAAAATAAATATTGTTAGTTATTCAATGTGGGTAATGTTGATATTATAGTAGTACTGAAGCAGTGTCGTTCTGGCCGAGTTAGGCTATTTTCAAAAATTTAAAAAGATAATTAGTAATATCCATACTTGTATAGGCGTTGTAAAATACATTGAAAACTTGCAGTAAAATATTTAATTAGAGAATTTTATATTTCACTAGGAAAAATACTTGAATACAAATAATTTATTTTAAATATATTTTCGTTTAAAAAAAACTTTATTATTAGATTAATAATTAAAGAGTATCTCTATATATTTATATATGTAGATGTATCTATTATGTATTTAGATAGATAGTATAGTGTACACGTATAATATACGTGCAATATGTTAGTATAAAAATATAGTATAATACTTTCGGCTAGTTTTATGATTCCTTATAAATATCAATAATAAAATATCAATTAGTGTTAACTAAATCAAATTATTTGTTGTTCATTTCTTAATTTTATAAATGTGTAATATTTTACATTTTTCCTATTTCAAATGAATTCCTCCTTAAAGTATAAAAAAATTGTTTTTTATAGCTTCATAAATGCACAGTCAATTTTATGGGCAATATGATTCCGCTCCGACAGAGGCTGCGTTATAACCGTGTTTGCAGATGGTAATGGTTGCATCTGGGAACGGGTATGGTTTAGTTTTTTTTTTATCCATTAACGAATGACAACTAATTGGACGCGGTTACACCTTTACGCTAACCGCATTGGTCGATATCTCACGGGTGGCATAATAAAAATAAATAATTCAAGTGAATTCAACTGCTATCGTCGATCGCGGCATAGGTTGTTCACGTGCAAATTCGGCCATTTTCCATCGATGCCGGTTTCTCACAGACGTCGTTTTGGATCGGGGAAAAAATATTATCAATAAAAATGCATAATAATATCGTTTTTCCGAGAGTTACAAAAAACTTTCGACGTGCTCTCCCCCCGAAAAACAACGTTAATATTATATTCGTAGATGTTGTATAATACATAATAATGGATTCGATGGCGTTTCAGCTGGGCAAAAGGGGGCACGCGGTGGGGATCTAGGAGCTGAATCAAAGGTCACCGGTGCCGGACGATAAAACAAATTCGTCACGGACTCGACGCGCTGAAATTTGAATACAAGGCGTTTTCGCCGCTGAAATTTGAATGAAATCCGTGCATTTATTTTTATGCGCAGTGCAGTTGTTATATTTCCGTCTCTCCCTTTGTCGACTTAACAAATTTCCGCTCGCATGATTATTATTTCCCATCGACGCCGGCCCCCCGTGTGGGGAATGTGTAATATATTTTTTTTCACCCAAAAAGTCACTTTCGTTACAATAACATAGCGAATTTGTAATAATAATAAAATAAAAAAATCATAATACAAACGATTGCCATTGCCGAACAATAATTCGTCTATTGGACCGTAATATACTTATACCGGCGTTGTTCTTGCTTCGCCCTGGTTGAATTGTACTTGTGTGTGTGTGTGTGTAACTATAAAAGTATAAAGTATATATATATATATATATAGTGTGTACCTGTTGGGCGTTGACACCTGGAATGGCGGGCTCGTGATTTTTTGATTGACAACCCCGTGGAAAACAATGCGAGCGCCACCGAGTGGAGTCACGGTCGACCGGATCAAGAGGCAACAGCTCTCCAATAATAATAATAATTTAATCTGAGTGAATGCGGATAAACAAAAGTATAGGCAACACAAACGCGGTGTACAACGCGTATAGGGCATAATATGCATCGCAACATCAGTTGTAGATGTCGACTACCTAATACCGAAATGTACTTAAGTATATTGTTATGCGGTTTTTTGCAATTTTGCCCGTCAACGTAAGTTAACTTCTCTCACGTCTCCTCCGCTACCCTCTGCAAAAACGTCCCTCGGATCTGCACCGACTAAAGGTAATGCCGTGCTGTCGACTATGCACAATACTGTCGCAATTAACACCGCAGGTCTATTGTTATTATTATTATTATTATTATACAGTGAACGCGAGTGATCCGTTGTCAATCACACAAAGTTCGAGGCCTCGCATCAATCCACTCATGCCGATACCGATTTTAATTTTTTTTTCCTCTCTCCGACAGTGCATTGTTAACGAAAACGATCCCGATCCGACAGTTGAACATAAAAACGGTTTAAAATTAATGTATAATATAATAATTATCACAAAGACACCCGACCTGTCGTCCAGGTTTGACATATTCGATGAAACCGCATTTGTGTGTGCGAGCGTGTTAACCGTTTGTTTTCAGGGAAAATCGTTTTACTTTTATTATTATTATTTTTTTAACCTGAATGTCGTCTATGGTGCATATCATCCAGTACACTGACAATTTGATCCTGAAACCGTTTTATTATAATAAAAAATAAAATGATCTATTCTCGTCAAATCTATTTAACCGCATTTCCCATAATATTGCAATCATAAACGGATCCATACGGAGAATACACAGCTGCGAGTGGCCTACACTGGGCATACCGGAAAAAAATCCGTTAATGTAGCGTCTCGAGTGGTACCTACCTATTTACGAGGACATTTTACTTGCTTTTATTAAGGGCTTTGTATAGGCAATTAAAAAAAAAAAAAATTAAGTAAAAATGTTACTATTATAATAAACTTGAAGCGCTATTTGAAAGTATCGTTTGATTTTTAAGATTGAGTAAAAGAACGTATACCAACATTAACATATATACACCTCAAATAAAGTGCGGCGCATATAGAAAAATTAAAACAAAAGAGAACTACTTCTTTTGTTTTAATATATTAACCTATCTGTTTAATAATACAAATTGT